TACGAATACAAACCTGGATCTTCTATTCATCAAAAGTGGGGTACAATTGGTAAACTCTGCTGAATAATGAATCGATCCCCCGCCTCCGGTTTTGAGAATACGTCAATTGCATGCGAGTAATAGGGGATTCTATTCAATTTCATGGAAGGAATTCGTCGTATATAGAGTTAATGAAGCGCGAACTGAAAGGCTAGGAATCACTGTACAGTTGTTGGGTCTCATCAGCAGTGCGAATCCATCGACCCAACTGGGATCGATGTGAAAGCTTCCAACCGAGTCATAACCTCGGAAGCTAGTGCTGAGATGAGAGGCTGGATGCCCGCAACAAGCTTGCTAAGAGAGGTTTTGCTATACGGTGTAAATAGAAAACTAAGAATGTTCTGGTTGGCTGTCCGGTGGTTGAGTGAGTATCGTGCTTGCGTTGTACCTGTGAGGTTCCGGATACGATCCTCAATTGGGTCAAGGGATTCGCAATGCTGATGAGACCCGAACAAGTCGAAACAGCTGTCCAGTGCTTCCCAGCTTTTCACTTCACGCTTCATTTGCTCTATACACTACGAATCACTTTTATGAAGTATCCCAATTACATCAAATTTCCTAAGTTATAGTTAGCATCCGTGGTTTCCAACAAGTTGTGTAATGTGATGTTGAATCGCATTGTTTCTGAAAACGATGCATGCACCGAAACGGTCAGACTGATCAAGATTGACTGGGCCAAGCTAGATGACATTTCATAATGCTCGTGTGTTGTTGCATAATCATGTGCCGGATGGTGAGATAACACCAAACAGAATGCTTTTTCATCAAAATTACTGATGATAGACTGAAACTGTGGAGTTTGGATTGGACAGATCACTGGCATACCGGTGTAAACATGAATTCCAATAGTTGAATAAAGTAGTTATGATGAAGAGCGTATTCATAAACCAATGTTTGATTCCCGGTATTTAAGTAACCAAGATAATCACGAGCTGTCATAAGTGTATAGGAAATCCTAGGTTCGATGACTAACTACCATTGAGAAATCGATTGTTTCAGTATCAATAAACAAGTTCAGAAAGGAAATCAAGTGCTCCGTGGTATTTACTTCGTTAGAGTAAACAGACCGACCAGCTAGCATTAGCGTAATGGAACACTTGACAAAGCGTGGTGTTAGGCGTGTGCGTTTGCACGCAACTGGACGTTTTATTCCATCTGCATTGCATATCTGGTGTAAACCGTCACCACCATCAACATCCATAAGTGTCTGTATCCCCCGCCGTTCACTCAGTCTGCGTCATTAGTTCAACCTCATACAGGCGGATATCCAGTAGGACACTGGTGTCGACTCTGATGAAATTTGCTACATCCTGAGTGCATTCACTGGATTAGATTATACCTAGTTCAGGGAGCTAAAGGGGTGACAAATATACAAAGAAAATATTTAATCTCTTACGAAAAAGATTTAATTGCCTTAACAATCCACTGTTCATCTATTGGAATTGATGATCACAGACCTGTGAATTGTATAAAGCTGTATTCAAGCAACTGTGGTATTGTAGCCAGAGAGATCGAAACTTTCGAAAGGCGGGGGGGGGGCAAGGGGCACAGGGGAAGGTTTGGGTTTCAGGGCTCAAACCATGCCAGTGACTATGATTGAAATGGCCTCATCACCAACACTAACCCCAAAATAGTTTTATGGAATAATTTGGAACAAATATTCTACATTCTAAGTTCATTGGTTAATTTAAGACAATACATTTTGCCGGGGCCCACAAGTCAGGAAGATTGCACTGATGACAGTTGTAAATTTTGTGGAGGAAAATAAATAAAAAGGAATTCGTCGTTTGTGTGAGTAAGCAAAGCTAATTCTTCTAGGTGCAAAAATACCGTACATAGTTCATCTCAAACGGAATCACTACAGGAATCGCACATTTTGTTGAATATGCACACATGGTTTTATTACGGATACCAAGGAACTTGTCGTTCGTGGCTACATCATTTTGATATAATTACAACCATAGTCGCATTCGCTTTCTAAAATCTTCATCGTGGATCCTTGTTTCAACCTCCAGTGACCTATTCTGTCTTCTAACAGAACCGGTTTTCTACTATCAAACTTCCGAGATTCGATATTTTCACCACAGCTCACGAATAAAAACAAGTGTTAATACAAGCAGTCGTTCGTTTCGACTCTTTATAAAAAGTTTTCACGCAGCCTTAAAGAAGTTTTACGCTTTTCTGATTTTTATCGGTATTTCTGAGTGTGATGTGCTTGGAATTCTTTCAACCTGGCAACAAATGCGGTAGATATAACCTGACATAGTTTCATATTTTGAATGTAGGGAAGGTAATAAAAAAGGTTTTACGGGTTTCACATGTAGGAATGTGGTCGATTTATTTTAACCCGATGACATGATTCCACCAGTTAAAAAAGGACTATAAAGGAGGCCGTTGGCCAAACTTTCTCGATAATATAACAAGATAAAAATCAACATCGGTCAGGTTTACTTTGGCGATTTCTTTACCCGAAGGTTCTTCTGTCTGAACGCCGAACGCGTTTACGGGGTTTTTTGGCCATTGCGCGTTCTAGGCATAGTCGATGAGGAAAATAAAACCCTTGAGCTCAAAACCAATCCGACGGCGAGTAAACTCCATGGGTTCCAGACAATGGTTTATTTGATTTCATGTAACTGGACTAGGCAAGCTGCACTGTAGCAAAAAATATCAGTTGTTCAGTGCTGTGAATGAACGGGCGTGCGTATCAGTTTTCAGTTACCGGAGGATTCGCTATGATTGCAGTTTGTGGGGCAAGACGTGAGTCGCATCAAACTGCCATCATATGAAGCAAAAACCGATTCGACATGGTGAACTATGCAGACAATCATGTTATCACGTTGACTACGGTACAATGTAGATACAAATTGCGGAGGTTACTACGCCGTGGATGTCCGCTCCTGTACAGAAGCCTTCACATACAGAAGACACAACTGGCTTGAAGCCAGAATTGCACGAATGTGAATAAGGCGTCACGACGACAGCACACGGAAGAAGCAACAAAACGCGTTGGGGGTTATATGGTCCATAGCTCAACTGCGCTTCAGAGGAGATCCGTCCACGCCAAATGGAAACCACAGTGGAACATTCTTGCCAATGTTAGCCGAGTTGCAGCACACGCGGAGCACACAAGAAAATCGCAGATAGTAATTCTAGTGAACTTACCTTCGACTGAACAAATAGGAAATTTAAACAGAACCAGAGGAAGAGATAGAAAGTGAATTGCTAAGGCGGTTTGATATGGGAGTAAAATCAATTTTTCTATAACTTTATTTTATCAATCATGTGAGTATCAGCTCTTAGTAGCCATGAAAATAAAGAGCGTAATAGATAAAGCTTTTTTAAATTCTCTCAAAATTTGCAGATGTTCAACTGTTTGGTCTGTGGCGATCGAGTGTGAACAGACCGTCAAAAACCAACAACCTTGGATAGGCCAGTGACAAGCATTAAAACTGCTCTTCCAATTCACACTGGAAACTAATGGGAATCGGTTACGTCGAAAAGTGCCAGTCATTACAGGAGAAAAGTACTGAGCGTTGCGAAAAAAAGTCCGCTGAGTGATCATAAAAACCAAGATAGTCCGGTCCGGTACACTAAGATTGTGTTGATGGTTCTCTGCAAGTAGTTACTCTGCATTCTAATTTTTAAAAAATATTGCTGTACTGATCAAAACTACTGTCCTATTCACATTTATATTATAGCTGTTCTAGCATATAATGCATGGTTTACATTCCAGCTTCATTTCACCTCGAATTTGGGAACAAATATGTTCGGTAGACTGCAGTTGCATTCCATTCGCAATTCAAGTGTTTGGCTGAAAAACGAAATGTTTCAATAGAGCTGTTTACGCACTCGTCGGGGGCGGATCACATCGTAGTGCGGCGGTTATAGAAGAGTGATCAGGAGCAAGATAATATAGAAGTCATCAACCAAGTTGACTAATTGTTGTTTTGCAGACCAACAAAATAAGACGTGATGGATTTAATAGGTGTTTATTTTCACAGCACCACGAGGTGCTGAGATTGCCAGAAGAACCTCACACTTATTTATCTAAGACTTAGCGAAATTCGTTTCATTGATTAAAACAAAAAGAAACAGATAAACTAGTGAACTTCCATAAATACATAATAGGCACTCTCGGTACATGTTAATTCTGGTCAGCGCAGTGACTAACTGCACGGACCAAGACGATTGAAGCGTTCGACGCTTTTCTCTTAAATAGTTGGGTAATTTCATTTAGAAAATTCCAGAGAAACCGCAATTTCGAACTATGGGTCAGTGATCACCGAAGAAAATTTTTTTATCAGTAGTACAATTGGGGCAAACATGTCAATATTGATTCATGGTTTTTGTTCTGATACTAACAGTTAGCAAAAAGCAATATAGCTCTAAAATGAAATCAAAAGGAGGAGAAATGTCTCTTTTGGTATCATTCTAGAGAGGGCATTCATAATTTGCCATGGTTGTTTTTTACAACCAATAACCATGCACTTTCGTGCCTTGGTTTGTTTTACTGTCTCCTGACTGCCCATTTGGATGGAAAAGTAAAGAGAAGATTGAAAAGTTGAAATCAGTAACAGATTGAAAATAGAGAGTTCACAAATACTGAGGTAGCAAAGAACTTGAGCACATGCACAGGTGCTACTGTTTACGACACTCAGTTATATCATCCATTGTTTGTAGTCATTAATTTCAGTGATCTCGACATCCCCATACAGGGAGCCTAACGCGACCACTGTGAGCAAGTCTCCTAGTCAGGGTTTTCACCTCCTCCTGCCAGTTCTTAGTGTGACCATATTTTACTTTGTTCCACCCAACACCTGCCAAGCCAAATAGCACGCACCGTGCCCTAGTCCCAAAAATATTGGTAGATGTTGTGAAAAAAGATGTATTAATAATGTGCAAGTTAGAGGTTGTGTGCTAAAATAAGGCTGATCATTTGACTTCAGTTCTGTGCAACTTACGTGATCCTGTTGGGACGAGCGGTGCTGGTTTCCATTCGGACATCATCCCAGTGACGTTACCCATACTGGGTGAATGAGGACGATCACTTAACTCATTCAGATCGGGCCACTGCATTGGCATGGGAACCGAACCGATTGGTTGCGAACCGGCCCCATTCATCGCGTTCACATTTAAATTAGACTGGGATGCATATTTGTACAGTTCGGATACCGGAACTAAAACCATGGGGACTTGTGCTAAGCTTTCAGAGGACTTCATAATTTCCTGTAGTTGATCGGAAGTCATATAGAGCATGTTTCCCGGAGGTCCGGCTTGTGCAGCGGTAGACATGAATCCGGTTGGCTGAGATGTGACCACAGTGACGGGTGATTCGTTTCGTTTGCCAATGGATATTACACGTTCCATATCCATGTCAGCATTGTCCGCTCCGAGAATATTCATTTTGGGTTCAGATTGGTTTATGATGATTGACTGTGTGGTCACGTGATTAGTTTGGGACCGTTCCGGTGATGGACCAGTCATATGCGCGGGACGATCCTGACTGAAAGCGGGGTTTGTGGGTAATCGATTTACTGTGCTGGTTAGCGAACTGGTGTTAATTGTTGGATTAGTGGACGATGCAGATGTTGGTTGAGCGGGCAATTTGTCACGACTGGAAGGTACACTGGGTTGGGGGAAAGTTGGCCTGAGCCCGGACTGCCGATTCACTTGACCCTGTTGAGTTCCGGTATAGGGTTTCAGTTTCCATTTGGGGATTTCACCCTCTGACCCATGAGGATCTCTAACGACCCACCAATCAATTTGAGATTTGTCTAGGACCTGTAGAATAGGTGAACAACGAAACCAGATGAATTACAACGGTGTTGGTAATTAACCATTACAAATAATTGTCTTTCATGTTCGTGTCAACCAGATGTTCGATCTCTCGTCTTAATTGCTCTTGAGCGACATATTTCTATTCAAGGATAAGTAAGTCCTCTGAACTAATCGTTGATATACATTGAGAATATGATATAAGGGTGAAACTCCAAGTTATGCTCTGACTTCTCGTCTGGAATGTGCCTTCGACGGCCGATTGCCATCAGTAAGGCAACAGTGTTTTGACGGTTATCTGACTTAGAGAATGAGCCCTGATTCGTACACGCTACAATGCTCTCCAACAGTGAGTATGACGTTTAGTGTAGGGAAGTTGCCTTCTGGACAACAACTCGTGGTGTCCTCAGATATTGTCGCTGATAGTTCACCACCGATCATCCAGTTATTCAGTGTCCTCGGATTCACCTTTTTACACCGAAGAGACCGCTCTTTTATTGTTTTCCAGAAGACTCACCTGGTAACGAACAACTTTGTTCACTGACCTCTCTTGTCCACAAGCGTCAGTCGAATGGGATATAGAGTTGCTTGCTGACACAAACTTAAGCTAGTTCAATAAAGCGATCTCTCTAAAATGAGGATGATTTATTGGTGGTCCCACAGTTTGGCACCGGTTTGTTGGTGTAACTGTCATCTAGATTGAGTTGCTACATCTTTCGATAGAGTATATTTTGTCTCTTCAATAACAACTTGTATTTCTTTTTGGCGTTCCAGTCAGAATTACAGATCACATTCATTTTTCCTCACTAGTGTCTTCATCTGAAAGTTTCTTCTTTCTATTAAGGTTCTTTCGCTTCGTGTAATTGTCAGCTTTTGGACATATTTCTTTGGTTAAATGAGATTAACTAAGATTTATGGTACCAAATTGCTGATTTTTTTTGACTGGTTGGTTATTTGTTAACATTTCCAGCATTTTCAGTATTTCATAAAATGTCGAGGCTGATAGTGCTTCAGTCTGATGGTTTCACTTCGCATGGCAAAAGCCTGGGAAAATGATTGCCATTCGTCCGTGTAATATTTGGTTAAACATAAAATTAAATTGACAGTGATACCCAAGAGAGAGAATCATCAAGATAAACTGCGAAAACTTTATTTTCACTTACTTCAACCACGGTACCAGGAGAGACACTGATCTCACGGGACTTTGCACTCACGTGACGAATAGTGACACAGTAAAACCTGTTGGACCGGGATGCCGGTGGAGAACATGCAATCAAAACAGAAAAGACAAGGGATGAGTGTGTGTGTGTGTGTGTGTGTGTGGGCATGTGAAGCATGGGAGCATAAGGCGCAGATCATATTAGGATCCCAGATTTGACCAAAAACATAACGACACCGAATGTGAACTTCCAACTATGGCAACTAACGTCGACATCATCATCAACAACAACAACAACAACAACAACAACAGACAAATTCAGCTGATCGTACAACCTTCTTCGGTTTTCATGAGAGACCAAACTGATTCAGAAGGAGTGAGTAGAGTTTACATGCAGAGCATTTGTACGGTACCAGAGTTATCAACTATCTTTGTATAGATTTGTTAGACTGAGGTAAACCTAATTTAGAGACTCGAGTCAAGAATTTCCTATTCGAAGTTCATTTACATTACGGTAGTAAGCGCAGTATCAATGTTCAGATTCATAAGCATTTTTCAAAGTAGAATGTAGGCTGTTTATTATCAACGAATTTTACAACCGAGGGACTGATCATCCTTCCGTCAAAATCTACGCAGCACTGCAATGTGATATTGTTCTCGCTCTGTTGTAGAAAACTGTTTTATCGTAGGCTATATTGAGTAACCAGAAAATGAAACAGATGCTATTTATTAGCTTATTTGTTGCAACAAAGATATAACTGCTAGCATAGATTACACTTTACAACCAAACTAAATTATGTGCTGCTCATCTCCCGACTGTAGTCTATTTGGAACTGTGTTCGACCAGGTAACAATCTGTGGAGGCTGATACCCGGACGAACTCAGTTAGTTTCGGGAATACGGCTTAAAAAGAATTAAGGTATTACACTGTGCATAAACAAAGTGAAACAATCTGACAACTTGTCTGATGGTGTAGTAGATGTTACACTTGCTCTCTACCTATACAATCATAACTTGAATTCAAGTCAAGTTGGTGTTGATTAACAATCTTGAAACAGTGCTTCTCCGCTTCTTTGTTCAAGTTTGTCGTGTTCTTTGCATGATTAATTGGTTTGTGTAACCCGACTGAACCCCCTCCGTCATTTTACGTTTGTTTTCGAGTAGCTACAGCACGGTGTAGACTAACAATTTGCACCCTCAAGACAGAGAAAAAATGTTTTTGGAAGTAATTCACATGCCGAAATGTGTGAGTTGTTGGGAGCGGGGGAGCTAGATGTGTTACATAGCATTCATAAACCACATTTTCACATTTGGCAATAAGCGGTAAAAACACCAAATGGTATACAGTTGGAGTTACTTCTGATATAAATATAATACGATGAATTGATGTGCCGACAGAAACCTGTTGGTTTGGCTCACCACTTTGTGAAATATATCATTCTCCTCTCTCACAATGTCCCAGTTATGAGTGCATTGGCAACTGGAAGTGGAAACTTCGTAGCGATATGCTCCTTTTGGTCAATCAAAAAATACAAGCGACCTGGACGAACGGTTTCTATCAATCGGAGTGTGTCAAAGTAATCATCAGAGGAGAATCATGTGGCAGCCGTGGTGACTGTAACCACTCCCTAATTGATCGCATTAAATAAATTCATCATTGATCAGTTTTATTCTGATCTGTTGCAGTTGAGCTGAGAGAATATAATCACTGATTCGCTCATGACAGTCTTGTGCCTCACCCCAACCTGTCAACATGGACGCGTGACAAGATCAGCCGCACTTCCTATTTTTCGTTTGTTTGTACGTTCATCAAATTGAAAATCAAAGTCTTAAGTGAATCAGTGAACTGGTCATCTTAATTGTATTTGCCACGCTTAACCGCATCATTTTTTTCCAAATTCTCTCAACAATGCATTGACCTTGTTTCGATCGGGGCACAAATGATAAATCTGGGTAATTGTTCGAGGGTGTAATACTGAACATTGACGAGATGAACTTACTCTCCGGTCGAGGCTTGAGATTTTGTTGATCCGTGATCATGCTGCACCGTCGGTTGTGTGGTACTGGTGGAATAGGTAGATACTGAAGAGGAATCACCGATAACACACAAAAGAGGGAATAAGTGGTGGCCAAAAGTATGCGTGGGGACAACCTCACTGGGATGCAATCAACAAGGCTACGGACTGATTAGAGCTAAGCCAGAAAACAAACCGCTTGTCGCACGGTGTCACGCACTGAAAGTGGCGCGCGCGCGCGCGTGAGAGAGAGACAGAGTGCGAAGATGAAAGACAAGAGCAGCGTGTTCGGGTGTGTAAACCGGCGCGCGAGAAGAACAACGGTCCAGTAGATAGAGGATTGTGAGAGGGATAAAAACGAATTCCACTTCCCCTGATCGCCGAGGTTGGCAATTTGTTTGCAAACGTTTCATCACCAGCCGAGATGAAATCCTCAGTGCTTGTGAAGGTTCGTTTATGTGTTCCTCTCCACTGACTGTTTTTGTTCCTTGTTCTCACTGTGTTCGACTCGGTTTCTCGCTGAACTGGTGCGAGAGGGTGAGGGTGGGAGGGGCGGAGGTTGTCCTTCCGTCCTGATTGCCGTTTCGGTCCGTTTTCAGATCACGGCGTGATCATTTTTATTGCGTCATTTGATCCTTGAGTTGCATTGACGAACCGAGTCGAACACGCTGAGAATGCGGGATAAAAACAGTCAGCGGAGAAGACCTTATATAAAATAACGCGTACAGCAGAACACTCAATTCACAAATACCGATGATGTTACCTCAGTTTCTACAACCATTAGCCAAGCACCTTCGTGCGGCAGTTTTGGTTGCTGTCTTTTGGCTGCCCATTTGGATGAGGAATAGGAGAAAGACAGGAAAATTGAAAGTACAGTCCAACAGAAAATGGACAATTTCAACGGAAATTGAGAAGATGCGCGAGCGCCACTGTTTACGATACACACATATCTCTTAGTGTCTCTAACCATCGGCTACGATCATCCTGAGGTCCCCATCAGGGATCCTAATGGGACCTATATGACCCAGTCCCCTGGTCAGGATTTTTATACCCTCGTGCCAGGTCTCGGCTTGGTCACCCTTGGCTATATTCCACCCACTACCTGCCTCGGCAAACATAGCGCGGTGTGGCAACCTATTTGGTGATATGCGTAATACATGCCCCAACCAACGTAATCTATGGACGTCGACAACTTGCTGCAGTGGACAGCTGCAGGTACTGAAATCTCTGCGCCTAACCTCAGCATTGCTCATCCGGCTTTCCCAATAGATCCGTGTAATGCTGCGTAGACAGCAGTGTTCAAACTACCGACAGTCTATCTTTATCCTGTTTTCTTAGTGGCCAAGTTTCTGCGCCGTATAGCAGAAGTGGCCGAACTTCTGCGGTATTCACTCGACCCTTCACAGATAACCGGCTGTCGCAACGGCACCAAAGACGTTTCCAAGTTAGCAAATGCTAACCGAGCCTTCTGAATGCGAGCTGACACCTCATCCGTGGTGCGTTCACCGGGTGAGATGTAGCCTCGCAAATGACAAAACTGATCCATTTGCTCTATTACTTCCCCGGTTCGAGTGAGGCTGGGTGCCGGACCAACCAAATCCTGTGTTAAAATTTTACACCATGACGGTGCAACTGATGTCATCTCGGTTGGTGATGAAACGGTTGCAATGAAATTGCCAAGCTCGGCAAACAGGTGAAATGGAATTCCGTTCACGCAGGCTACGCGAACCGATTTTCAATACTTTGGCAACAGAAAAAATATGATGCAACAAACGGCATGAGAAACGTGATTTGCTAACTACAGATCCGTTTGCGATCTGAAAATTGTAAACACTAAACGATGGAGTAAAGTGTTACGTCGAAAGTGAATGTAAAGAGCGAATACTACGACCACACTAACTGAGAGTAGTAGGGTGCATTTCAGTGCAGTGAACGTTTACGGAGAGTGCAAAAACTACAGTGCAGTAAAATAACGCAGTTGCTCCAAACTCATCGGTTTATAATAATTAAAGAGTTTGGGAGTAATTCGTGTGATAACCATGAATTGTGATGCATTAGAAAACAATTGTGGCATTACAACCAAAAGGTGTTTTACTGAACTACATCTTCATCGAATGAGAGTGGCTTTTCTGGCTGACCGTTTGGTTAGGAATAGCTTCTGAAAAGCTCGGTTAATATGTGCATGCTTGATGCATTTGTACCTCAGCGACTAAAATACCTACATTAAGGGCTGCATAACAGATCTTATCTGAAACTGCAAATCAAAACCGATCAATCAGAATGAAGGCCGATGACCAAACAATTTTATTTTGGCTTAGTACACTGTGCTGCTTCGAAATAATACGAACACGAAGAGAAAAGACTTTACCTCAAGTTTTCTTGAAGAAACTTTTTTCTTCCAGTACTACTTTTGCTATATCAGAAAGCTAGTAATGGATAGATCGCTCGGATCTGACACGTGGCACGACACTTTCTCTGGGGTTTTCGTTCAACGAGAGAGTTAAGCGTTTGAACGAACTGAGATGTGAGCTATCCCCAATGAAACTATCGGATACGGAATCTAAATTAAGTTGACTTTTTGTAATTTTGAAGTAACGTACTCAACTAATAAATTCTACTGATTCAATCAGAACCTTCCGTAAGAGATGTCACTTAACAGTTTGAAAGATTCCTTCGAGTTTGCGAAATAATACAAAGCCTGAATAAAACCGGTAGACGATTGATTTCGAACGATGTTTGCTTCCATTTTAACATACTTGCTACTCGAGCAGATCATATCTGTGGTATAACCTGATCAGAGTGAGACGGATATGCCAACAGATCGTATCAGATCTTCACTTTTGTGGATCATTTCAATCGGAATTGACACAGATAAACATGGTTTGTGGATTGAGAATAATCCCATCAGCCTAAAAGTTGCTGATATAATTAGGGGACATTTCGAGACCGTAAAATCTCTTGGTTCCATAAAAATAGTTACACTCACCAGTTGTTGATGATACTAAACTCCTGGATGAGAAAGTAGGAACCGCCGAAAACCATACTTAAAGATGTTCGATGCACGATAGAACGGAAACCTGAAAGCACCTTTTACTTGATTGGAAATGCTTTGAAGAATAGAAGACTTTGTTCTGATGTGCTCTTTGTTCCTTAACACAGTATGGATCACCCAGTATCTGAATTTCAAAGGCCAATTTTCTTTTAATTACAATCGAATTTGCTGGCGTTTTGTGCACAGGGGCACGCTGAATTAATCTGCTAAAGTCCTTGCACCATTAGTCCCCGGAATTTCCTTCTACCATACCCATCCCTAAAAAGTAAAATGAAAAATCTTTTAGGTTTATCGAGAATGAATAGCGGTGGCGTAAGAAAGAGAGAAGCAACTTCTCCTATCCTTTTACCATGAAGTCTGGCATACAAGTTAACTCCAAACAGATGAAAACGGCATATGAAATTCTGGTGTAGCTGAATTGATAAAAGTTCTCTCTTCTCTTCATACATCAAACTGAATGTACTTGAGAGAGACAAGTCCTTCAGGATAATAAGTAGGTATTGTGATCATCGTCTATATTAGTTTGTTGCAACCATTGCCATTAGACACATCACGGCAGTTTGATTAAATGTTGCACGCTGTTGTCGGTCTTGTTTGATCGTGATTACTTGATATGATTGGCTATTGTTGGTCCCTTAACCTTCGTGCGATTTTACTCCACTGAGTTTCACAATCGGTTTAATAGACGCCATTTTATGGTCTATCACATTTCCATGACTATTGTTAACTGTTAAATCCTGTTTTCTAATGCACTTATAAAGCTGACAGAGAGTTCCCGAGAAGTCTAGAGTAATTTCACGTGGTAATTCTTTATCTTGTTGAAGTTTGATAGGTATATCAACTTTCCTGTCATGGTAAATTCACTATGAGTTAACAGCTTTACGGAAGACAATAAAGTAAAAGTATCAACTGGTGGTGCGCATTCGACCAGAAGCGTCAACCCAGCAAGCACATCATAAGTTGTGCCAGAAATCAGTATGGCACCTGCCAGAAAAGCGCGTGGTCATATGCAGGGTAATTGCTCCAACTAACCAATGTGATGGCAACTCCTGAAATACGGTCGAACTAAAAAGAATCAAGTGTTCCGTTTTCTAAACAAAGTCACTGTAACCAGTCTCTTCACCAGAAGGCTATTGCGTTCAGTGGATAGTTTTCTTTTTTAATGTGAGTATTTATCATCTCATCCACTGTGTACTCACAAGGAGTTTGCTTTTTGGGTGATTCCGCTCTCACTTCTTTGGCAGTTGACTGCAACGGAGAGACCATTGAGACGTATTCTGTAGGCAGGGATATCGGTGGTGACGATGAAATTTGGGGAATCAACGGTGATGGCGGACGTACGGATAGTTCCGGTGGTGTGGTGAGTGATGTGCGCGGAGCGGACGGTACCGGAGCTGTAGGTTCTGGTGATGGCACCGAAACGGGTGTTGATACTGGTGCTGGTCTTGCCGATGCCGGTAGATCATAATCCAAAATTACNATTACCCTGGGTGGTGACATTCTCTCTTCCACATCGGATGGCAACTGTGTCACCGATACTGCTGACCGTTCAGGGAATGCGTTCGGTGGTGAATTGGGTTCAGCTATTGGGACGAATATTGATCTGTGATTAGTCCATGCCATAGATGAATGCATTGCACGTTCAGAACAACCACAATGATTCAACTGCCTCAATGAAAACAGTATCAGATGGGTCAGATGAACCGTATGAAGCAGGCAACTCACTATTTTATCGATTTCTCCAAAACCACATACACATAACTGTGTTAGAAATGAGATTGGCGGTAAGCGCGCGCATGCGACGGAACACAAACTGGGGGTTAGAATGAGGGAAAGCATCCACTAGTAGAAACCACACTCGCGATTAAATGGATTTGTTTCTGATCACCAAACCGGGCAATGAGTTTAGGTTTTGGAAGATTTCAAAACAATTAGCAGTGCACTGAATGAGAAGGGTAGATACATTGATAGACAGACAGACACATAAACCAATGGAGGAATTGTGAACGCAACCAAACAGAACGAGGTTGAGCTGAACACTCCACCTACGNCTACGTATTTGGATTTCTGAAGTGTAGGCATTTTGCGTTAGACGATCTGTGGGATGGGGAATTCGTGAAACATTAGATAGATAGGGAAAATGAATTAACCGAAACTCATTTTAGGTCAAAATTTCAGGCCAGACACTGAAGCGATATCTCATTGATTTCACTAGATTTTTATCCGTAATTTGCAAAAGGGGATCAATATAAACGTTAAGCACAAATAAAATAGCGTGTGACACATGTGCGTATATCAAGCTTGCTCGAAGACCGTTAGTGTAGAAAACGATGGCGTCATAGGATAATGTCCGCATGGAAAAGCATCTGTATATGGGTCCGACTGCATTAAGTGATAATAACCTTGCACTAAATTTCCCCATTTACAATCGCATTCTTTTCACAATCACCACAATAAGAATACTAGTTATAATTTCTGCTCTATGAGCAACTCTTGCCATTGTTATTTTTGGTAACTGAAAATTAGGTTTTCAATTTTCAGAAATATGCCTGCAATGTACTCTTCTCAGATAGGTCTACCAATATCCCCAACACTCGTCTGTTTAAGGTGCGTTGAGCAGGCTTATTCACAAATCGTGAAGTGCTGATGTGAAATCGAACACAAGATAAGGATGACCTCAAATAGAAGTGAACTTTTAAATTATTTTTGTGCCAAGCTATTGCCTTTCTACGATGTCAATTTTGATGACTAGTTTGAAGCATACTGCGTCCGAAAACGCCCATTTTTGTGTGACATCCAAGTTGGACAGAAATATTTTACTTGCAGATATAACAATGCGGTTTGCGAAGTGGAATTGTCATGCTGTTCGATTGACAAATCTTGAGACAAAAGAAAAAGTGTGTGCTGGATCCCTTCCTGTAGATGGGACAGGAACGACGAAACCGACTGCGCAAATCATACAGATAGGTTCGACTTCATGCACATAGGTTGTTTTGAACAGTTTTCCATGCCGGAATAAGATTAATTGATTGGTTGATTAAAATGCGTACAAACGTATTCATCACCAATAACGCTGGTTCTGATAAGTTTGCCCCAAAAGCGTTTTCACGTGGAGTTGAAGGACAAGTGAACCCGCTTTGAATGGTCGGACTTGGATAATACTGCCTGAAACGAGCATCAACGATCAATAGGGGCAATGCTCAACTCTTTGATAGGTATTTCTCAGTCACGGCAAGCAAAAAAACAAATGATACCAACATTGCCAAACGAAAGTGGTTACAATGATAACACATAAAACTGACACCAAAGCAAGAAATGGGGTCAATATAAAGTTAACTGCGGTTCCGTTGTTGATCTGTACGAAACAAATGAAAAACTGTGTGTAAATCAGAGACTATTACAAATAAATTTCTATTTGAACCGCATCAAACCGGGGTACTTTGCAACCAGTTCTACTCAGTTTGCATGGCAAATTTGAGAATGATTGTCCAACATCTCGAAACCAAGGGTCTACGTACCTGTTTGGCAGACTGAATGTGAACGAAAATAGACGACTGGTCCAATGCATTTATAATCAGTTCAGGGTAATCACTAATAGGTATCTTTCAAGTCATCTATTTCAACTATATTAGGAATGACAGTTTTGTAAACAACGGTGTTGATTGTCGTTTGAAATCTACTAGAGGGGAACAGTGAATTTCCCGGCTGTGTTACCGATTGGATGGTTTACGCATTCAGTAACAAAACTTCGTCCAGTATGATTGAAAAAGCGCGCCATCTTCTACTATTCAGGAGATGAATTTCCATTCCCAGTGGAATGAAATATACCATACAGCATCATCGCGCTTACAGGATAATTGCTGCGCTCATTGATTGACCTTATTGAAGGAAACTAAATGAAATCTTTCTGACGATCATTCAGGAGAAACTTAATCATGATTATATCACAAAATTTGACAAGACAAATCTTTTCAGTAATGATTTTCGCAACGTGCAGTGGGGAATTGTTACAGGTAGCAGTAAACAGTCTACCAAGGACCGCTAGCTGTTTGAACGTTGTCATCAATGCCTAACTTGTGACGCTTCGAATGCAGACTTGTCGGACTGCGAGTGTCACAAATTACTGCTAGGCCCCGGTGAAGGCTTGCAGGATTGTTTTTACTTTTACACCCGATGATTCGACGCAGGAGCCTGATATTGTTCAGAGTTTGGCATCAGTGAGTGGAAATACATCAGGGAATAAATTGCTGGCTCTGATGGAACACCTCGAAAGATACAGCATTCTCTCGACAGCTCAACACGGGTTTAGGCAAAAGCGATCCTGCACCACGAACTTGCTTCTCGTTCGAGATAAATGGATCAGTACAGTCGACGAAAAGGATGCGGTTTATGTGATTTATCTCGACTTATCGAAAGCATTTTATCGGGTGAATCACAAAATTTTACTGCAGAAGCTCTACAATTATGGCGTTCGAGATTTCGCGTTTGATTGGATTAAAACGTTCCTTGAACAACGGACCGTATCAGTTCGTGTTTCTGATTCCACATCCCGCGGTGTTCTACAAGGATCCGTACTCGGCCCCCATCTGTTCCTCGCCTTAATAAATGATTTACCGAAAGTGAAATCTGAAACACGGTAACAGAACCCGAGGGCTCTCTAATACTACAGGAATCACTCAACGCAGCTTATCAACGGTCTAAGGAGAACGACATTGAATTTTATGTTTCTAACTGCAAAGTCCTATCCCTGCGCCACAAGTGAAAATTCTCGTATTTCCTCGGGGCTCAGCAGCTACCACATACTTCTAGCAAAAAGGAATTAGGTATTGTTGTTCAAGAGGATTTAAGCTGCTCCAACAACTGTGCTAAGGCTTCGTCTGCTGCTATGAAGAACGTCAGCTTACTTCGGTGAGTCTTTGGCCGGTTTGAATCATCACTATTCCCACGTTTGCTATCAGCGTACATTCGACCGTATACAGAGTACGCCATCCAAGCTTGAAGTCCAGGCTTCAACGTAATCTCAAGATGCTTGAGCGTCCACAAAGGATGGCCACCAAGATGGTCAAGGGATTCCATTACCTGACATACGAGGACAGATTGCGATTATTCGGACTATATTCTGCTCACTACCGCCGAACTAGGGGAGATTTGATTTTGACGTATCAAATACTGCAGAACCCAAACCATCCGTGTCGATCGCTCCTCATGTTATCGCATAATGTGAATCTAAGGGGATACTCTTTTCAAGCTACTGATTTCAAAGTGTCGATTGGAATGCGGCGCCAGTCTTTTGCAGTCAGAGTATGCAGTTCTTGGAACGCTCTTTCATCTCATGTCGTTTGTGCACCCACTATTAAATATTTCAAGCAGAGACTCGATGAAACCTTGGCACACCTCACATTCGTTCACCACTAAAAGCAAACGGAAATTCACTGTAGCCTATATTCTCTATTATCTCCTACCCGAAACTCTATGTGGCTCCTTTTTCGACGTGTAACGATTCATCTGTCTAAATATCCTATGGGGTCAAGAAAAGCACGGGCTTGTAAGTTATTCCCATAATAAAACTTTGACTTTGACTTTGATGGTAGAAGCGTCTGAAAGTGGCAAAGACAGATCTGTTTTTTCGGTACTTCTCATCAGGCCAATACAGTACACACAATCGAACATGTATGGACACAACACAGCGTGATAATCCGTAGTGTAAGTGCTCGTAAAGTTATTGTGATGATTGATGGTGAGAACTGTGTCCGGATGGATCAGTCAAGGTTGAGTCGAACTGATGTGTCTGTTTCACGATCTTACCGGCCCTAGGCCAGGGCAGCGGTAGGGTCTTGACAAATTGCTTTTGCGAACACAGTATTGGTTGGCTTATCCTAATCGCGGTCGCTTCGGCTGTGCACAGAGTTATTTGTCTCACCCCTTTTGATTGGTTATATGCCACCCGGTAGATGACCTTGAATGCCCCTTACATGTCAGTTAGTGACCCGCGTCGAGTGTGTGGTCTAGGATGGCACTATAGACGACCCCTTTGATAGCCAAGATGGACAGTGTTCTTGAATCCTCTCTGACAATCGCCTACTGGTCCTTCCTACGTATTCCACTCCATAGGAGCACGAACAAGAGTACAAACAAAATGAGGTAGGCGGACTAAGCAGCTTGTCTTTGAGTTGTAACTGCGGCATAGGCTTCGTAGTAAAGGAGAGACAGTTTAGCAGCAAAGTAAGTTCTTTCAATGGCGTGGTGATACTATAGTATCACCATTCCCAATCTTAAGAACTAATTATCTTGCTTTTGTCTCTAATGTCCCTTCCTGATTACATCACTTGCTATGCATGACCTATAGTTTCTACCGTATATTACGTAACTTCATCCCGCACTCTCGTCTTAGCTCACAACCATTTAATCTGCTCATCTCTCGAACGTTTGTTTAGTTGACCTTTGTGTTCTCATCCCCACCCACGACTATCATTAGTCTTGTTATATTCGTTGATCTGTTTGCTCGCCTCTGTCATCGTTACTAACTGAGCTCTAATCGACCAATCAGACATCTGTATTATGATCACCTTATATATGTAAACGCCTGATACGATACATCGAAAAGAAATTTCTTCGCGAATAGCGTTTTCTACATTGTCTATGGGACTATTTTACGATCTGATGAGAAGTACCGAAAAACGGATCTGTCTTTGCAACTTTCAGACTTCTCTGACAGAAAAATGGGAATATTTTGTGACTGATGGTAGTTAAGATCGATGGCGGAGACGAATGGGCAAGTGTGATCGGCGAGAGTTGAGTAAACTTACATGACAAAGAGAAAGAGAGAGAAAATGCATCTTCGTTTAAAACTGGCCACGTACCAATTAATTTATTCAAACGGATAAAATAAAACAAAACTTTCAAGTTCTGTTGTAATTATTGATTCCAGATAATCACATTACGTTTCAGCATTTACACATATCGCTTCGTACCTTTATAAAAGGGCCCACTGTTTTGTTCTAGTCTACTACGCAAGCGATGGCAAAAATATGACATGAAGCATTTTACTTGAAGTTCACCAACCCAAATATATAAATTTTGATCATAAAGTAACATCGTCGCAGCATAATTGCATACTTTGGCGTACAGGAAGAACAGGCATCAACATCGAAAGCAGTTATGTGAATGAAAGAGATACAATTTAGACTAACTCACGGAATTGAATCTTGGGAGAATCGGTCTGGGTTAGAATTCCAAGGCTTGGTGAACGGAACATGTTATTCGAGGTACTGGTCTAATAGATGCGAAAGATAGATAGAAATGGGTATTCATTTTTGCAAAAAATATTACTGCTACATCTTATAGAAACAAAAATTTAAACATTTTTGAGTGGCCATCCTTGATGTTTCATATGTCTCGTAGGTCAGCTACATCTGACTAATACCTGGTGCGTTTAATAAAAATTTATACCAATTTTATCCCTGAAGTCAACATTAATCTCGTCTTACCAATGTTCACCATTCCAACCTGATTTATGGTGCAACGGATAGTACGGAATACCTGCAATCGTGTCCGTGTTGATTGACTCCAGAAAGCTATCACGTTAGATTGTATCATAGTTGTGAAATTTAGCGTTTTTATGACTTTCCCCTTTTTAAAAAATAACAATATCTAAAAAGAAGCTGTATAAACACAGATTAAACTGGGGAGTGGCACGAAAAGAGAGGGTGATAAAGAGGGCTACGGAACGGGGACAAAACGATGTAATATGAATGTGAACTTGCTAGTAATAAGTACCTTAGAGGAGCCAAGCGTGATCTACGAGGACTACACACAATAGGATTGTAACTGATACGACACATTTTGTGATTCTGCGCTCATTATTATTGCTTATTTGACGGTAATCTTGATTCTTATAGTTATGGATAAGGCGACTGTTTTTTGACCCTGAAAATGAATTTCCTCAGCATCTGGTTTTGCTTCCTATGAGTTTTAGAATGGATATTATCCTGTTGTCTCAGTATTAAAACACCGGTTCCTGGAACCTGTTTGGTGAGACCTGTCAACTTTTGTTGAAACACTCACGAACCAAATAGGATATGAAATGTTTAACGATGAGGTAAACTTTAACAAGGACGTTTAAAACACAAAAGTAAAACGAAATCGCCACCTTTCTCATGAGTCAAACAAAGTACTGACCACCCCAAACGAAAATGATACCATATCAGCAAATATGTCATCAGGAAAGACAGGGTCGATCAACTGACCTTTTCGTAGCTCCCGTACCGTTTTGGTTTCTCATCTAATGCCGGACTATCAAACTGAGGCATATATCGATTGAACGGATTTGGCCACTGTTCACTGATAATAAAATAGGGGAAGAGTTGTGTGTGAACATGTAGTACAATCGTCAGACAGAACCTCAATGGTCAAGTGTCATTATTCAATCTTTATGTGGTGTTAATTTATAGGTCACCATACCCTGTGCTTTCATCACTTATTTGTAAGACATTCGGAGAATTTGAGTGCAACGATTCCCACAGGTAAAACAGGTTTCCTCAAGCTGTTAAAAAACTGCGAATCATATCAATAATGTGTGCTACACAAGCCTCCCTCCTTTCATATTGTTTCAACTTGGATAAGCCCATATGAACCCCGCGAAACAATGAAATACCGTAACAAAGGCTTTTCGATTTAGCTTGCATATGCTATGGATGGAGAACGTTTGCAGTGTGTTTGATCCTAAAATCAGGACTATTCATGTGCCAGTTATTGTTATCAAACAGTTAACTTTTCGAATCTCCTTGACACCCGAAAATCCCAACCACACAAAAGCTGTCTACAGTTCACTGTGAGACACAAGTCGTCGGTAAACGTTGCAAGTGGTCATGAAGTGAAAGAGAATCGATACTCAATGAAGTGTTTTAAGGCTTTTAATCAAACCTGTGGGTTATTCACTGGGTATTGGCATTGTTATCTGTTACATGCATCAGGTGATGTAATTTGATGGCGTTATTTTGTCCTATATGATATTCACTGCGTCGGAACTCTTAAAACGCCAAATGGAAGATGGATATGAAAAACATAAACGCGAAAACTCTGGCATCCTCCGAGGGCTACCCAGTAGGCTAGGCTTCCAGTCATTTTATGAAGAAAACCTACCGGTTAATAATTGTATGAGTGAAAATTACGATAGATTCACTAGAAAAACATGTGGTCAACAAACTTGCTATCAGGGCTTTATCCAAAACTGTGATTTAATCTCAACATGAATAATTCTTTGGTTTAGCGTGACTTCTGTCACTTTTATAATTGAGAGTGGATCAGGGATTTCGGACAACACGGTGGTATCTTGATGACACATTTAAAAGTATCCTGGAATAAGTCTACAAAAAGTATTGCCTTTATAATGGAAAACAGATCTCCTGCCCATCAATTAAATTAAAACGTCTTATCGGCGAGGAAGTCATCCAGAAATGGCATTGGCTTTGCACTATCCAAGTATAACGTACTTGTTCAAGATTGGCAGAAATGTTACAGTTTCCCATGTATGTTAACCTGACGAAAGAAAGGAATTCGAATCTGTCTACATAAGCAGACTTATATCCAACTTATCAGGTACTGCATTGTAACAGACTGTTCGTTTCCTCTAAAGGATCGTTTCATTGATAGAAATATGGTCGGTACGCTACGCGATCAAGCATCTGTTTCGTTACCAGTAAATAAAGGAATTCTCCAGCATGAGATTCCATCCCCCCCCCACGGTTAATTTCTCATACAATACTAGTGACCTTCCTATAAATTGCGGTACCATTCTTATTAAACACACAAACGCACTTTGCTTCAATTAATTTTGTCCAGTTTTCCGATACCCATTAATTTGTACCACCCTATATAATGCAATGTAATATTTTCTCTCACCAGATGTAAACGACGGTATTGTTTTGAAACAAACCGCGCTTGCTGTATCTTGATGATCAAATTATTCGCATTGAAAATTCTATAAAATAGTAGTCAACACCCTAAGTGGTCTGTGCATGTGGACAACTCCTATGATGTCCGGCTTTAGCAAAACCTCTAAAGTCCCATTAGGCCTGATAGCTTATTCGCATGCTCCAATTACTTCCTTCAGTGATTCCCAGTGATACCGCTGGTCTTGAAATTAAAGACTATTCTAAATTCGATGGAAATGTTTGTGATAACCAACAAAGAGCCCGGGGAAGCTGTTTAGTCCTGTTTGGGATTCGTTAGCAGTGCTAGTATTTGTGTCCCTGTTAGGACTCGAACCGCGATCAGTCAGGTCGGGACTTCAAACCCTTACGCCTGAGCCACACGGTCAATGGTTATCACCTTGTGCGAATGGCGACGACCAACAAGAGTGCCTGGTGCCCCTGAACAATCGAGTGAGCTAATCCAAGATTGATACTCTAAATTGATTGAGCCATTCGCACAAGGTGATAATCATCGACCGTGTGGGTCAGGGGTAAGGGTTTGAAGTTCCGACCTGACTGATCGCGGTTCGAGTCCTAACAGGGACACAAAAGCTAGCACTGCTAACGAGTCCCAAACAGGACTAAACAGCTTTCCAGTGCTCTTTGTTGGTTATCACACACATTTCCATCGCATTTAAATTCATACAAACAGTGGGGAATTATCGATCTTCCAAGGAGTGAAACCCACACCGAAGACCATCAAGAGTGCCTGGTGCCTCTGAACAATCGAATGGGCTAATCCTAGCTTGATATTCTAAAGACTATTCTGTTTTACTTCTATTCAACGATGTTAGCTTCGGTACACATTTGCGTATACTTGAACTTACTGTCTATATAGATTTACCTACTTCTGAAAATTTAAGCAATATCTCCTTATTAGCTAACATTCAACCGTCTCATGCACATCAGGGACAATGCGTGACTAATTCCGAGACTAGGTGCCGTCACACCATTTTTCACTCAAGAACCACTGCTTAATCTCAGTCTTTTGTTCGTTACTTTGCAATACCACTTATTACAGCCTCTAAACCAACGATAGAACGCTTTAGCTCTTATATCTTGCTTTCTTAAAGATTTTATGATGATATTCATGCTGTTATTATGATCAGTGATACCCCGGGGGAGCATGTAACTGGAAATCCATCCCGTCAGATGAAGCTATTCTTGACTGGATTGGATGAATTTAGATAATAATGATATTCAGCATAATCTCTTCTTAGTCCCCAATCATATGGATACTAGAATAATAATTTTCCATGAACAGAGGTCATCTAGTCTGGTGACGAACTGTTTTTCATTCGACTATCAGGCTCAGTAGGCAGTTAAAAACAACCATTTCCAATCTGATTAATGCTGACTGTTGCCGTTATAACGTGGTATACAATTCTGAAGGCGGGCATCCACAAACTACGGTAACATCACATGGTAGCAACAATCAAACTCACAGAATTGCGGCTGCGGATATTCTTGTGTATTTATTGCATTTCAATTTGTTTTATTTCGCTGACTGACTGTAGGAAAAACTGAGGTTTGCGTTTCCAAATATTTGCACATGGGACGCAGGATCTTCCACTGGTACAACTGATGCATCTCATTAATCACTGAGTAAGTCTGATACCCGTACCCGGATGTTTTTTGGTGACTTTCTAGCGGGTCAATACTCCATGTCCCAGACACGCCGGCCATTTACAGAACACACCTTCACTACAGGTAATTGAAGGTGACTGGATGAATATATTTCACATCTGTATCGTACAAGCAGTTGGTCTCCCGCATTTATCATTAGTACCTCAAATATTTTGGACCACTATGATAAGAAGACAATATTGCACCACCTGGCACATTGCTTGAAAGGTTAAGTGCATATTAAATAGACTCCTTATAAAGCCTTAACCATCATACTTTACGGTGAAGCAAACTTTGCCTACCACTACGAAGAACGCTGTCCACAAATTAGATGTGAAGAGTCTAGAGAAATTTCATGACTTCCAGGAGAGACCAGCGTCAACCAAGGGGCCACGAAAGCAGACTGTAAAATCCGGAACACAGTGAATTGATGCAAAATAACCACAATAAATTTCACCACTGTCTGCCTGTGGCCTTGTCCTATTGGCCTGTGATCATGGCACAGTCCTCGTCTTAGACCGGAATGCGAGAAACACGCATTCCTCATGTCTTACCGAAGTGTCACCTTTGACTTACACTTGTCTTTCTGCATTACAGTGCCACGTTTGTAAACGGGATAAATAATGGCAAATAATAGCTAGGCAAGTGCAGTAAAAGCCAGACTAATCGGCAATCTCTTGTCATGTCATTTAGTTCGGATGAGGAGCTTCCGGAGAAGATGATCCCGTCACATTGTAATTCGGTGTTACTCACTGAATAAAGTCAATAAACGATGGTTGTCACTGTTTCCTACGATCTGACGAGCAGACAGTTAGGCCGCACATATACTGTATACCGGTCACAATTTCCATTGTAACATTCGTGCTTAAAACGGGGTTTAGTAGTATCGCACACAGTGCAGTGGTGCACAGTTACGAGTTGCGAAACACGAAGTGGGTTGAGATTGGTGTAGTTTCAAAAATTACAGGAAACTATTTCCCTTTCCGGAGTTGAGTGAAAGAAGTCGATTGGTGCTTCAAATATGAATCGTCGTGGACCAAGTCCACGTTTTACATGGTGTTCCTCTTCAGCAATTTAAAAAAGGCTACTCAGACGGGATTGGATNAATAGGTATTTTAAATGTAATGTAAGTTCATGAGTCATGTTTCGTTAGGCTCAACAAACTCCACTCAATGGCCGAATTATATAATCAGGAGAAGTGGTAACATATGAGTAGGTTAAGTGACCTACAAATTTATCAAATCATGTGTTGTCGTAGTGTCTTATTTGTAAGTTGTTTCGCTCACACATGGTTCAATCTCACTTTATTATAACTGGCCTCTCCCTCGGCCACTCGTCCGCTTTAAGGTAGCACGGAAACATACACTTTCGAATGATCAGTTGATCTATTGATTAACTCAGAGTGTAAGTTACGCTCGGACAGAAGTGATAAGGGAGCAGTAAAAGACACTAGCAATGACCGAGAGCCACCTGCCGAAATTGGAAATGGGCAATTGAAAAAAGCTCTGTCGAAATCTTAAAATTTCGCATGATAATTCCACTGACTAAGTTTGATTTATTTTAGTTTCAATTATTTCATCAGTTAGTANTTTCAATTATTTCATCAGTTAGTAAAGCAGATATTTATGTCATATGATAGAACAATATGGGTCACTACTGTAGCGGGCAAACTCACATCCTCAATTTCTCATGTTCCCAAGCAGCCTTTGAACATTGGTTTTGCAACCAGTGGTATCTACTTAA